TCTCATGATATATCAATACGTATACATAATATATCGAAGGTAAAGTATTAATGTCAATAATATCGAAAGCGAGGTATCGATATTATCGACAAACACCGTAAGCGTTTTTAGTTTGATACATGCTGTCTTTGTATATCAATGCGAGTATTCCTTCAATTTTCCGCCTCGCCATACGATTCGTTTTATAAGTCGTAAAGACAAAGAGAAAGCGCAGAAGAAACATCAGTGTCTCGTGAATCAATCGTTATACAATAATTTCTCGTAATGACACCGCGACGCGTTATTTGCCGCTCTTCCTCTCTCTCACTTTTAATTCTCATTAGCCATAGTCAGTCGTAAAACTCTTGTCAAAAAAAAAAAAAAAAAAAAAAAAACGGACAATTACTCTAATATGTGCGCGTTTCACGTACGTGCAAATCCTCTAGGTATTTAACACAGACACACATGTGTACATCCATGGAGAGATATTCGTGCGCTTGCGCAACCCTCGCCTTCACGTGTACCATTGCACGCATTACTACGAACGTGTACTACAAACGAGTACTCCCACCGAACATTGTTGGACCGTAAGTTGAAGCTCGATAATCCCGCGAGACTGAAAAGTAACGAATAAAACAAATATGCACTTCGATTACTCGTATATGTACACGTACAATGAGCGCTCGAAATATTTTTTTATCAATGACATATCAATTAGCAATAACATATAATGACGTTATTTATCGCACGAATAAACATTTGACGATTTTTTTAAGATACAACTTGGAGTTTATATAGTGATGCATATAATAAAGACTGCATCCAAACTCTTCTGTCCAAGTATCATAATTTTTCCTGCACATGCGCTGTGCAATATACTTAAATTATATTTAATTAAAATATATTTCATACAGATTTAAACTAAAAAAAGTTGAATTATAGATGTCGCGTACATTTGCTAAAATTAAAAAGTGTGATGTTTATCGGAACGTCATCTCCCGAGAGAATAATGTCAATTTTTTGAAGTGAGTTTTTTCGAGTAATCGAAACGCGATAGATAGTCTAAGGATTAAATAAATAAAAATCGCTGAAATCCCTGTCAATTTTACTTTTGCCCAAGTGAAAATGCTAACTCTTGATACACGCGATGCGTTCATCTCTCCACAGAAACGAGCGAGCATCCCTCGAACGAGTATCCCTAGAAACATGAGCTCTAATGTGTCGATCTCTCGTGAAATATTGTCGGATTCGCAATTCTCCTCAGCAACTCTGCTGAGATTCAATTCGCTCGCGTAACGCATACCAGCAAGTATCCCGTAATCTGTAAGAACGCACGATCGGCTCGCTGACCCGAAAGTAATCCCCGGAAAAGAAGATAAAAAGAAGTAGAATAGAAAAGCGATGTGTATCTCTTCGTTCGCGTACGATTATATGTACAACCGGGTACTCGTGGTATTATCCCGCCCCCTTTCATCCCCCGTCGAAAAACATGCAAATATGTGTGTGTATAGTATACTATATGCCAGAGAGACCTTGCGGGTTATCCCGAACGGACGGATCGTATCTGCGCCACGAGGCTATTGTCCGATTCGAGAGATTCGTCAAGTGCCGACGATCGACCGGGCTTTATTGGAGGCTACACGCGCCCGATATGTGTGTTCGTTGTGTATATCGATTCGACGTTTAGGATCTGTCGTAGTGCCTCCTCTCAAGTGGACGCCCCGGCAATCGTCTCAGCGAGAGAATTTTTATCCTAGAGTATTCTTAACCCCCGGAAAAAGTGCTTGCGCTCCGCGCTTAATTCCAAAATTGTCTCCTTACGCTGCGATTTCACGAAGGGATTACGTCTCTGTAACTACTCTTTTTCTTTATAATTATCATTATTCTACATGTATTGTATATACGGACATTTTTTATCCACACGGAAGCTTCTCCTTAATGCACATTTTTTCAATAGAAACCAATAGTATTTATAAGTCATTAAATATAGAATTCTCTCTCTTTAGCGAATTGAGCTTTAGAATTGTGTATTTTTATTATTGGATTAATTGAAAAGGTATTTACAGTTTAATATTAAAAAATTTGAAAAGATGCTTTACATGTAAAATTAGAAAAATAATATTAGAAATATGTTATCCCTTTAAAATGTTTCCATAATAATATTCTTACAAAAACAAGAGATTTTAAAAAGAGAATGGAAAAGCTTGAGTGTAATTACAACGAAATTTCAACGAATTACATCTATTAAGTGGACACATTCCGTAAATAAAGATAAAATAAGATGTAGGAGAACAAAGCAAGGGAAGAAACTCATAGAACTTGATTAGAAAAGAATCCTACCGCGAAGTAGCATTCTCAAGATGTCTCTTAAATGTAATTTAAATTTAGTATGACGCAAGTATTACGATATTACATTATATTGGAAATCGTTTGTTTCATTTAACATTGAACATTTAATGAAAAAATGATTCCAATTGGTGCAACGTACGCAAATTAGAATAAATTTTATAATATTGAATTTAACAAAATATCTCAATATTATTAATTTTAAATTATATCAAACTTAATTAATACAAAAAATTGAGATACCTTAACAAAATATTTTATTCAAATTTAAATTATGTATTCATTATTTTAATAAAATTATTATTTATTTAGCCAATGATGATTATGTTTGCTTTTCAAAAAAATATGCCATTATTTTTATATACAGAACATCTACAAGTTTAGAAAATTAAGAGTTAAAAACTAAAAATATTTCAAATTTTATTTCGTAACTCCTTACACGTTATAATTAATTGTTATATCCAAAGATTGCTTATTAATGATAAAAAGATTAATTTTTTAAGATTTCTTTTACATTAAATAATTTTACATGAAATATATATATAAAACGATAATTCAACACATTACTGTATCTGACAGATAAAATTTTCAGAGAAAAGAGTAGGTATAAACTTTTCAAAATCGACTGAAAATAAATCGACAGTTCCGCAGGGGAGTAACAATACGATAACGTTGACTTATTCATGCTTTTGTGTGTCCGCTGTGAAATCGCTGAGATGGATTATCCAAAACGATTTTGGTGGAACCCTTCACGATTCATCGGCGATGGCGATCTGGTTTGAAAGCGAGTTCGGTCGACGTTTGGAGAGGAAACGAGCAAGGAGGTGGATGACGAGACGCGAAAGCGACGACCCGGTATATCGATAGAAGGAGACAAGTGCGGGAGAAAGAGAGAAAAGATAGTGAGACCAAAGTGAAAGTCCCTCTGCAAAAACCAGGCCAGGGCTTCGTATCTTCACGCGTATGTACGTACACCGATGGGACCATTATGCAATTACGCATTGGCACGGCTGTCTCTACTTAAGCTTCGCTTCGCTTCGCCGGGAAGAACGGCCGCGTCCCCGTTTCTTCCTTCGCGCGATTTACGCTCTAAACAGCTAAAAGTTTGCAAATTACGACCGCGATCGCGACGCGAAATGCTACCGGCGACATTGTGTTCCCGATTAGCGAAAACCCATTCGCGATCGAAACAAGACCGTTCTTTTCACAACGAGCAAAAGTTTTTCGTCCCATAATAATCCTCGATACATTTGCAGATTCTGTGATAATATATTTTTATAAAAAATCCGATATATATATATATATACGTAGAAATCTAAAAAAATGAGATTTTCTTCTTATGTGCGATATATCAAAACCAAATGTAGAAAATGTGAAAAAGTATCTTGTTCATATATAGGAAATAAAATAGATATTTACTTTGCGCTCTTTGAAATCGAGAGAATAAATAATATATCGAAAGAATCTTTTGTTCCCCTTTATCTTTCTCTAGCTAACAATGTTCGAAAATCGTAAATCTAAGATACTTATTAACATGCGTTTCATACATATATATTAAAATAATAAAAAAAATACTTACATATATTCTTTTATATTATATCAAATCATTTATTCCGCTTGTATATTTTATTCACTTAAACTCTTGAATATTTCAATAGTTGAATGATTCGGTTATGAAATAACGTATCCACGTAAGAATTCAACTCATAGACACGAAATCATTGCGTTATTCTCTTGAGAGGCCAAAAGGTCGACAAACGTTCCGCGAAGGTATTTTCTCGCATCCGCCTGTTCTGTAGAAGCGGAAGGCCACGTAATTTATCGTTTTGTGTAATAATGAGACTCGAAATGCGAATATTACCGCAAAATAATGGGCGTGCTGTAATAACAATAACTCCAGGTAACTTCTGCACAACGCGACGCTCCGCACGCGAATTTCGTCGTCGGGAATTCCAACATATTTTAAATTGGCATAATATAAATACACACAATATCCGTATACATCACGAGCTGAATAAATATATTAATCTTATAGTATGCAGAAGAGAGGAAAGCTCTCTCTCTCTTTCAATGCACAATCATAATACGTATAATCACACATGTACCGCGAATATTTGCATATAAACATTTTCTCTGAAATATTGTAGCATAATACTATCATACAATGTCGATTGTAATCGATTGGCAAAATAGATAATAAATCCAGTTAAAATATATAAATGAAATAAATCTCCTTCGAATAATGCCTGAATTTGTAAAACGTATCGCGCATTGACGATTACGTGTGAAAAAGTGTAAGTTTTGAAAAAATATTTCGACAAAAATAAAAAACAAATTTTAATTCATCGTCTTACCTTAATTGTAATTTTCAATGATGCTGCTAAAGTCTAAAGAAAGAGAGATTTGAAAACTGAAGATTCAAGAAAAAACTACGAAAATTCATATGCAATTTTTACAATTATTTTGTGAATTTTAATGATTTCCAAGCTAATTATTCTAAAATTACTTGAAATAAAATCGACAAATTGAAATCATCGTAAAAGTATGCAAAAAGATCGACGTAATGCCGCCATTAGTGAGATCATTTCTTCAGACTGACATAACGTTGTATATTTATTTCTTACGTTATGTTCGCAGTATGCTTGACCTGACTGTTAATAATTGAAAGGACTTACCGAGCTGCAATGTGGCGAGGGCGAACAAAAGCAAACCGGAGATAACTCGCTGTGACTTCGCATCCATTTTTCGGTGGTTCCGGCCACTGCTGGGGTCGAGTCCTCTTCTTTTCTGTCACTGCTGCGGATGACGGCGATGATGGCACATGTACACACACACGAACCACACGCGCACACTTATATTCGATCTGCAATTCGATAAAAAGAACACTGTGAAGCCTCACGCTGATCTTTCCCACAAACTGATCCGTCAGTCACGTCGATGATTTTTCATTTTTCATTATTACGATACATTTGGATAAAATGCTATTTGAAAAACCTCGATATATAAATCGGAGAAATTTATCGCGCAATTATTTTACATCTCGAAAGAATAATCATGGAAATAGATTGGCGGTGAAAAAAATTTTCAACGAGTGACCTGAATTATAACAATATAACATTGAGACAAATCTATTTGAAGAAGAACGCGCATATATCTCTATTATTTAACGATATAAAGAAATTATTTGGACGCGGAGATTTAAAAAAAGGAAAAGAAAAATCGTCTGTTAAGACGCGATAAAGTCACGAATTCTAATGAGTGTCGAATATGATGTCTCGAACGACAATTCAATACCCACGGAGAGTGATCGACGAGAGACTGAACAAGCTTGATGGTAACGATCCACCGGCTCCGAGTCGACTGACTGAAAATTCGCCACTGATCGCGCGGCACACCTTTCTCGTGAAATCACAGACCATATGTACGATCTACCGTTACTCCAAGATCAGGCTTCTGAAGTACAAGAGCCGTACGAGAGAGCCTTATGATACAGGATTTTCTATCATGTAGGTGTAGTACATCCGCGATATGATTGACCTCGAAAATCAGCACGTATCGACAATTGTATGTATATAATTTGGAAATATGCATATCTTGTTATAAATTAGTTCAATTTATGCCTTAAACATATAGTACTGTGATTCGAATTTAATGCAAATTGTACTTATCGATTCTTTCTATATTTTGGATTATATCTAATCCAATTAGAATTATTATTAATTAAATAATGAACCGTTTTAAATCAGTTTATCTTCCAAATTTTGCGCGTTTTGTGTTATTAATCTTTTCATATATCAATCATTCTGCAACAAAAGTAAAAAATAAAATACAAAAAGTAATAATTAATGAATTGAAATCCTATGAAAGCTAAAAACTCGATTTGTAAATTAAAAGACATCTCTCTAAAATAATTGTTATTTCCGATCATATATTCAACAAAATGTTATTTATTAAAATCCTTATTTTTCTTATCAAGTTGACGTTTAATATAAAACAAAAAAGTACACGTAAAATACCTTTATAATCTTTATAAAATTGCTTAAAATATACGATATAAGAAAAATCAGTAAACGTTTATAAAATATTCTGAAACGCTTTACAAGCATAGTGTTATCCATTGAAGCCATCCATGTATAACATATTTCGTAGCTACTATATGTTCCGGCAAACAAGAATTTATGTGTTAGTACATCTAGCAAACAAGAACCCATACTAAAATGTTTGGAAAGTCTCATTATCTAAATTTCCTTACTTAGCATGATATACGTTTATACCAAAATTGTAGCAGAGAAAGATAAGTAATGTAACAATTAAAATATCATCAAAATCGTCAAAGCAAAATTTACGCCTACAAAATATTGTCTTTTACATCACGATTCATTAAAAAATTAAATCTTAAAATTTTAAACATATAAGGTGATGTAAGGTTTACATAATTTTCAATATCTGAATTGAATAAAATTTTGAAATTTATTGTCAATATAAAAATAAAAGTACAAAATTAATGTCGCGTTTTAAATATATACATCGAGGTCTCACATTTTTCCAAACTTTCTTTAAAAATATATTCTATCCTGACAACTCGGTGAATAGCAGCATCATAACTTTTTATTTCAAATTTATTTTCAGCGTTATTTAGATTTTTAATTTTTCCAGATCGTGTATCGCGCTTTGTGTCACTAGGAAAAACAACGAGTGCAGTAGCAACGCATATCATGTCATATATTTTCTATACTATGTATCGAGCTATATTACGAACATAATCTCTTTCCACCGCTCGAAAGCACACGCGTATAGACATCCGGTATTTTGGAAGCGCTTATCTCGAACGTAATTTTTGTGTCTATCACAATGCATTTCTATCTCGAATCGAAAAGATATTTTTTTATTTCGAAACATTTATAAATAAAAATCAAAAAGTTATTATTAAAGTATGTAATGTTACTTTGACTTTGAGAGAAGTAATTTTGCATCATGAAAAAAATTGTTTATAGAATTAAGTAACATTAAAGTATTTCACATTAATCAATACATCGTTATTGTTTGATTATAAAATAACGTACATTTTATATCAAATATTAATCAATGAGTGAAAAAAGAGAGATAGATACCTAACTAAAAAATTTATATATAATTAACACGCTTTTTACTAGTTAGGCTCAGTAAATAATAATTAAAGAGTAACAAATGGGCAGAGCACGTACACGATCTTGGTGTAAAGTTGTAATAAAGTAATAACAGCAATCAATTGTGAAACGTTTCGGTTATTATTTAACCATCTTCAGTGACAAACTTTAGAACAGCAGTGATATCAGTAAAAAAACAACGACCTATTTCGACATATCAAAACGGAATTCCGTTTTGATATGTCTCATCTTGGTGTAAAGTTGTAATAGAGTAATAACAGCAATCAAAGATGTTTTTTTTACTGATATCACTGCTGTTCTAAAGTTTGTCACTGAAGATAATTAAATAATAACCGAAACGTTTGACAATTGATTGCTGTTATTACTTTATTACAACTTTACACCAAGATCGTGTACGTGCTCTTTGCCCATTTGTTACTCTTTAATTATATATAATTACATATTAAATATTACAATATATATTATTTGAAATAATTTTGAATATAGCTTTCTAGAAATGTTTATCCCCTTCAAAAATAGTGAAATTTTTTTCATATTAAATATAATTAAATATGAAAACCTTTTTCGTCATATATATATATTATAAAACTTCTCATATGATCTTCACTGAATAATATAATATTATTTCATTTTACAAGCGTTTTCAATTATCAAAATGAAATGTCGCGTAATCAATAAATCCGTAAATTCGGCATTGTAATCGATGAAACCTCATTCCTACAAAATTCCTTGCATACTCGAATACCTTAGCTGAGAAACTACACGCACCAATTAATTCATTTAGCCTTAACATATAATCATAATTGAATTGCTATGCACATGAACAACTTAATCTTAAAAATTTGTCAATCAGAAAAATACTTTCTTTTGACAAAAAATATTATAAATAAGTATATTAAATTATCTCGTATTTTAATATATAATCATAAATAATCATACTTTTAAAAAATAATATACACAAAGAATAATTTTGAAAAAGTAATAAGTTAATATCAAAAAATGCATTTATTATACGATATTAAATATAACATTTTATTCAGATTTTTGCACAATTAATCAAAATTCCTGCAACTTTAGACCACCAAAACTGATATCATACATCTCATTGTGTTATTTAAAATACTGTAACAATCTTTCTCCGATTATTATAAAAGTATGTCTCCTAAAAAGAAAGAGTTACACAAAATAAAAGCGTTTGATCAAATCAATCTTTTCGGCAAGTTATCACAATAACACCGAATATAGACCACGGAGTTTCCTTTTTCCTATAGCCATCTTGTCGAAAATCTGAGATTCTCTGGTGTTAAAAAAATTATGAAGATACTATTGCTAAAAACTTTGCGACGAGCGCGATATCTCGATACCAGAATCCGTTTTCACCAGACCCGAATGACAGAGATTCCACCCTCTTGACGCCGCCATACAATCGGCCTTTCGCCGCGCACATCGGTCCACATTAGCGTAATGATTCTCACGTTCATCACACGGACATCTTTCCTATATATCGCGCACACAGTACACCGAATGCGCTAATTATTCTCATTCACTTTTCCCCCTCGAATACTCGATCCCTACGATACCTCCCGCACTCAATCTTGGATCGCGCGCGAGTGAAATTAGTCGACGGTACCCTGACGAACCTGATGAACCAACCGGCAGCAGCAACAGCAGCAGCGGAGCCGGCGCCGAGGGGCCCACCACACGGAGGCCACCACCGTGAAACGCGCGTTTTCGTCTGGATGTAGAAGGACTGACGGTGGCAGCGACGGCGGCGGCTGCTCGGCACTACTCGCACCCCTCGGCTGAGCGAGCACGACGCACCCCGTTCCCCGGGATATGTATTGGCGGGTAGGAAAGCTCCACCTATCGCACGACCGAATGGGAGGGCCACAGGAAGACCCGGAGCTTGCGCCCTCCGGCTGGTCGGTGCACCAAGCACAACCCTTCCTTGGCTTTTTCCCAACTTTCGAGCTTGCGGTGCGCCCTCTCCCCTTCTGTTCCACCCTCTTCTCTTCTCTCGCCATCGCATCGCTCGCCGTCATTACCATCGCCGCTACCATCCTGCGAGCTTTTGCCCCTGACCCCTTTTCCCCGGTCGCTTCTCGTTCTACCCTCTCTAACCCTCGCTGGCCGACGGGACTCCTACCCTAATACGATACAGAACGCCAACCGGTGAAATTTGGACTAGCAGCAACGGACCGCAAGCACGGAGTCGACGAGTTTCCTTCATCCGGTGAACGCAAAGGTGGGGAGAGAGAAGAGGCAAACCCTGTGGATACGCGCTTGCAGCTTGTGTCTTCTTGCTGTTCTTTTTTTTTCTTTCTTTTGCATTCCCCGTATGTACGCGGGCGAATGCACCTTTTTACTCGAAGGGCTCGGTTGGATTGATGCGAGCGCGTATGCACAGAAGAGCCTTGCTTGCCTAAGTTGTAGACGTCCTTCCGTTCTCTTTGCTTGCAGTTTCTTGCATGCTGCATCGAAACGCGAAACCGAGAGTTAGCGTAACAGCGCGGAGTTTCTCGAGATGTGTGCAACGTGTCCTCGGAAGCTCGGCGCGATATCTCTTCCCGTTACTTTATCTTCTAGTTTTGTATATATGACTTTCTGTATCTACTTGACGATTCTGTGTGTCGAGCTCTTTTCACGAGCTTACTGAATAGCTAACATATCTCGCGTGGATAAAGAAACGGAAAAATATTTATCCATGCAGAAACATCAACTTTTTCTTCTCGCGATATTATAAGAAAATGCAAATTTGTTCCACTGTTCGCTTATCTCGCGGTAGTCAATGGTAATCATTTATTCTCCTAAACAAATCGTCGCTATTTTAGTTTAAATATAAAGCCTTGTTGCTTTGTGAAAGATTATATAATTTTATTTTATTTGTCATTCATTCTATATCAATTACAAATAATTAACATTGATTTGATTTCGTGAAATTTATTCATATTTAATCGGAATGCATAGCTGTGACATAATTCGGACTCTAATAATTCAAGTCATATATTTAATTTTAAAAGATTAAGATTTTGAAAACTATATGTTATATATATATATTATACACGCGGAAAATTTTAAAGAAGGTACTCTCTTCTAATCGCGCGATGCAGTTTGCAAAAATGGAGGTGTATGTATATACTCGAACCCCTCTCGACGAAAATATGTGTGCAAAGTACTAGCATGTCGAACGGCCGGTGACAGCTTTTTCGATCGTTCGTATTTACGCGCTTTTTAAGCGCGTTTCGGCCGCTAGATACGGACGGATGAAATTATTGCTTTCGACGGGTTCAAATAGTGCTCGTGGATATTGCGCTCAAAGACTCACGGAAAGCATTGTGCCCGGCATCGATGTCACGTTGCTGTGATTTATGCGTATGAACGTCGACGTCTAAAAGACAAATCGTAGAATACGGAAAGAAAGATATCTCTGCGAAGAAAGACTTTCGCGCGCGAAAATAAATGCGAGTTTTCGCTCTCGTCGTGTGACGTGCATAAAAGGTGCTGTGAATAGCGATAAACGATTTTTCGATTGCTCTCTCTTCACGGGCGCGATCGCTCTCGAACGGGTGTTGAATGTTGCAATCGCGATATGGGCATCACAAAAAATATTTTTCGAAAGATAACTCGCCAAGGATCGTTCAACTATTGCGGATAAAACTCACT